AATTTCATANAATTTGAGGAGACGCAAACGGAACAAACAGAGCCGTTGGATTTATCACTGCAAAAATTGAGTAGAGAACAAGCGCCGGATTTGTGTTTATTAGCCGAAGTAGCTGCTAAAATATATACACATGAATTTAAAGGTCAAGTTTTAATAGTCAAAGAAGTGGATGCTGAAGGAAAAAGAAAAAACACAGAAGAAATCGCAGGGAAGGAGTCGAAAAGGAAGAAACTGCAGTGTGGTCCATGTCAAAATGAAGTAATAAGTATGGATGATATGGAAACTAATACTAGTAAGAAGCTTCGTATTTGTCCGACATGCAACAAAACCTTCTCTTACCTATCAACTATGGAAATTCATATGAGATCTCATACCGGTGAAAAGCCGTACGATTGTCTCACATGCAACAAAAGCTTCCCCCGTTTATCAACTTTGAACGACCATATGAGAACTCATACTGGTGAGAAGCCGTACGATTGTCTCACATGCAACAAAAGCTTCTCTCGTTCATCAACTTTGAACGGCCATATGAGAACTCATACTGGTGAGAAGCCTTACGTTTGCCCGATATGCGGCAGGAGTTTCTCTCAATCATCAAGTGGGAAGAGACATATGAAAACTCATACAGGTAAGTCTTACAATTATCCGTTATGCGAGAAAAGTCAATAAAAGGAGCGGTATTTGAAAAAACACATAACAACTCATAACAAAAATAGGCCACTCTTCAACTGTACTGTCTGTGGTAATGGTTTCCTAAATCTTAAATCTACTTTGAAGTCACACAAGAAGACTCATGAAAGAGGCTGAAATGCGCGTTTTAAGCTGAAATGGCGTTGTTTTGTTAATTATATGTTTCTGTACTTGGTCCTTATTTTAATGATAAAAAAAAGTTATTTTATTGATATTTTTATCTCATATGCATAAGATCCTTATCTTAATGATAACATTCTATTACTGTTATTATTTATCGATTGTTTATACGTTATTCATTTTTTTTATCACATATGAAGTACGTTCTTTTTCCATCCCTTTGCTGTTTCTTTCATTTTACTGAATAAAATTATCAGTTTTGTATTTCCTTGCAGATCTGCTAAATTACTTTTTCGTTATTTGCGCACACATAAGTAATTGGCATGCTATATGCAAATAAATATAGCTGTTAGTTGTAGTCTCATGTCATTTCATAGGATCACCCGTTATCAATCCCTATCCTATGTTTCATCGACGATAAGCACTTCAATTGAGCTATTTAAAGCAACGTTTCATTTAGTGGGATATTTGATAATCCAATCCAGCTACTAAATTATATCAATTCAATTAAAGCTTAAAATCTGAAAGAGATTTGAGGGGCTTGTGCAAAAGCTATGCAAATTGTTTTGTCCAATTAAGTAACATCCAAACTGCAATAAGTTCATTTAAAGTTTAAAAAAAAGATTCTTACTTAAAGGAAAAGTTCCACCCGAAAGTTAATTTTTAGTAGTTTAAATAAAATAAAGAAACTGTCAACATGCCAACTTTTGTTGAAAAATATTTTAGAAATCTTCACATTTTATTATATTTCAATGAAATGTTTATTATGAATTCATCACGGATTAAAAATAAAGTTTAAATCCAGTAAACCTGTTGAACTGATTCTTTTCGATGTTCAATTACAATCGATTGAATTCTTGGATTAGCATCTTCTTCGTTGTGTATCCGATTGATCGTGAGATACAGAAAATATCGTACCGTTTTAGTTGTTCCATCCTTTGTATGTATTGTAAAATTACTTTAAGAGAGAGGAAACGAAAAAAATGATTAAATAATGTTGACTAAATTATATTAATTACATATAACGATTAAATAAATGATCCACGTGCAAATCTTTCAACTGTTTCTTCACCAATTCTTCGATCTTATCTGGTCTACGTACCATAAGTGGTAGCTGCATATGGAAAAGAATTAATGAGGGAATTGCAAAATAATTTAAAATCTTATCAGCTAAACAAGTTGGATTTTGAAATAAACAATGATACGCTTCGTTAGTCGTTCAGAATTTTCAACGATTTTTCCTTTTTCCCTCCTAAAAAAGTACAGTTATAAACAAATCAAATTGAAACGTTTTTGCGAATGCTTGAATGCAATACCATATTACGTGCAACTGAATGACTGTCAATTGTGAACTTATTTTGTCAATGCATATATGTGTGGTTATTTAGGTGGTAAGAATCTACTTTTGTTATGATAAAGATATCTTTTCGTTTTAATTTGCCGGAAGTAAAATATTCCTGGAGTACATTCCCGATGATAGCTTCGTTATAATAAACATAAGCAGTGTCGATTAACGGATATCCAGCATCCAGAGCTGTCTTCAATGCTGTTGTTAGAGCTACCGGATCATTGGACTGAAATATTGATAGGAAAGCAATTTGAATATAGAATCTTCTTAAATACAATCAAATCATTTATGGACGATTTATTTATGACTGAAACTTACCGTACTATTTGAATGATCTATATGGCTAATTAGATTACATTTCACAAAACCAAATTTACAATTAAATCAAAAGGAATTGAATAAGTGAATAAGTATTGAGCAAATCATTCATCAGCTATAAAAATAATGGCTTAAAAAATTGATGACATCTTCGTTGTCACTTCAATTCTTGGTTGGTTTTCCACCTTAGGTCAAATCCTCATTTTTGAACAAATTTCACCCTGAACAATGGGAAAACTTACTAGCCATGTACCTAAACCAAAAAGCGGTAAATCGGCACCAGTGGCTAATTTGACAGTTTCGTATTTAACCATATCTGAAAAAATTTTGAACACAGTGAGAACTGAACATGACAGGTAATTCAATAATATCTTCTGATTCGCCTACTAAATTTTTCTGCAATAATTTCTTGCTACATACATTACTTAAAATTATGGGTAAATTACCCACTCATCAAGGACAAACAATGAAATCTGAATTAAATACTCGTCATCAGTCGATAACGATACAATCATTTCACGGACTCCGTTACCTAATGTAATTGTAGGTAAGAAGTT